AAGTCTCTCAGTGTTCTTGGATATCTCTGAGGGTTTGATGATGACACAGTTCCCTGGGGGGAGATGGACAGGACATCAGCACAGTGACGCGGTAACAGCCAGCCCTTCTGGGGACAATACCCTGGCACTGCCCAGATCCTCTGGGCCAGGGGGCTGGAAGGTGGGGCTCACCAGCAGCAATGGCCCCGATGAGGGGCACCAGGAAGAGGTGGATGGGGTAGTTCCAGGGCGCCATGATGAGCACCACCCCATACGGCTCCTTGCGGATGAAGGCAGAGTCCAGCTGCATCACCTGTGAGAACATTCATGACCTCAGTCCTGTCCTCCCCACCAGCAATCCCTTTCCCTGCCTTCCCTTGCCCTAGAGCTTCCCTCTTACCAGGTTCTTGTCCACGTGCTCGTCCTTCATCCAGTGGGACAGGTTGTTGAGGGTGACGTTGAGCTCGTTCTTGCAGAGGAGGACCTCGGTGAAATAAGCCTCAAAGGACGGCTGGGGACAGACATGACAGAATGTCACCCCAATACCAACCCCATCACCAACCCCACCACTCCAGGAAGAGTCTCTCCCCTCTTCCAAGCAAGAAGAGCAGGAGAAGCTCTTTAACATTAGTTGCCATCACCCCCTGTAACTCCCAGGGAATATCAGCATCCTGGAAATTTTATGAAAACAGGTATTTGACCAGAGGAGAAAAAAAAAAAAAAAACACATCAAAATTGAACATATCATGATATTTAACAAATTCCTGAGCTCAGCACTATGAACCAGCAACAGAGCCCTGAGCCAAGAGGACACAGAGCAATATCACTGGAGCTTCAGAAGAGCTGGTCCTGGTGCCAGAGGCAGCTCCACATTGCTGCCCTGGGACGGGACAATGCTCTTGCATCCTGATCACTTGGGTACTCAAGCTGGAAGCAAAGCCTGGAGCTTCTTCCCCATGCCCATGGACAAAACCTGAACTTAAGACCTTGATTAAAGGGAAGTACAAAGAACCACAGCTCAATTAAACCCCTCAAGATGGAGAAGTGGGTCCTCTCCACAGCCACAGAGCACAGATCAGGATCACACTTGCAGGAGAACTGCGAAGACACCAGGGATAACCCAGCAGGCTCAGTGGAGCCCCCTCATGACTGTGAAGAGCTGGAAGAGCGAAGCTCCTGTGCTGTGATGCCGTATTTTGGACTACTACAACTCCAAAACATCCCTGGATTGGAGCCTTCCTCCCATCACCACACTACTTTGGGGTTGGGAAGGCTGGTCCTTGATTCCCACGATCTTCCACCACCCCAAAACGGTCCCCAAAGCACTGCTGCCAGGAAGCATGAGGACCCTCCCGGACGTGAGTGCTCTGCAGGCACGTGGGATAATCCAGTGAAGCAACGGGGCCACTCTTGATCTGGGATGACAGTTGCATCACCACTGTGAGGAAGGTGATGAGTCATTATGGGTTCTGATGGGATATGAAGGCTGGGAGATGGGATATTAAGTCTGAGGTCATCTGAGCGCTGCTGATCATCGGCACCAGAGAGGAACCGGCATCACTGGACGTGAGGCACCTCCTCAGGTACGTAAGAGCAGGTGAAGTGTCCATCCAACTATGAGGGCCTGTCTGCATAACAAGCTCATTACTGGACAACCAGATCTAATTAGGCATAATTAGGAGAGGTGGCAGACACACTCGTAACACTGATGCCTATCAAGGCCTAGCTGAAAGAGAAGGACTCGCCTCCAACAAACAAGGCAATTAGGAGCCTTGGGAGATGGCAGGACATGGAAGGATGTGGCTGAGAGCACAGGATGCTGCACTGATGCCTGACAAAGAGGTGAGGATCATCTCATGGAACCCTGGAATGGTTTGGGTTGGAAAGGACCTTAAAGCTCATCCAGCGCCACTCCCTGCCACAGGCAGGGCCTCCTTCCACTAGACCGGGTTGCTCCAAGCCCTGTCCAGCCTGGCTTTGAACACTTCCAGAGACAATGAGCTGAGACCACTGGAATTATCCATGGTGGGGATGTTTCCGCTTCGTCAGCAGCTCATCCAGGACCTCCTGGCATGCTGCAATACCCTGAGCCATATCCAGGTCCCTGCCCATGCCACCGTGCCAGTGAAACCAGTCCCCGTAAGGCTCTGGGAATGTGCAGCACCAGCGCCTTGCACAATGCCAGTAATCCTGGGTGTGCCAGGCTGGCCAGGAGCACCCCAGGACATCACCCTCTGTGGAGCCCACACAGACCCCCAGGGGCTGGATGTGTTGGGGGGGAACACAGCAGGTGAAACGTTACCACTACATGTCAGCCAAGGTGGCCTTTGCCCAATTTCAGGGCACCAGGGATGGGATGGGATGGGATCAGCAGCACAGTCCCTCCACTATCCCCAGATCTGAGGGGACTCAGCACCTATGGATGCGCCACACCAGCCCTGAAGCACACCTAAAGGGACACAGGACCCTGGCAAGGAGACACGCTCATGCCCTGAACCCCACGAGGATGCAACAGCCAGACAAAGGGGCACGAAGGACCCCAAAGACATGATGCCAGTGGCCTCCAAATCTCAGCCCCCCTCTCACCTTGCCCATGTCCAAATCAGTGGCCTCCAGGATCTCCTCCTTCTTCTCGTCCAGGAAGCGTCCCAGGGCCTCCAGCTGGGCCATGCGGTATTCCAAAGGCCGTGTCTTTCCAGAGAGCCAGGATGCCCTCAGGTGGCTCACCAGCCCAGCATAGGGGTTCCCACTGCAGGGATGGCGGTGTCAGAGGGACCCCAGCCCCATCCCAGCTCCTCAGATCATCATGTCACCCCAGATCCATGTCGTCCCATGCTCCAGCATCAAACTGGAGCCCCAGAGTCCCTGGGGACAGGGCAGGGAGTCCACACACCTATGCTCTTCCCTTGCTGCCGGGAGCAGCCCAACATGGCACTGTTCCCGGCAGGTCCCATCTTCTCCCTTGGGCCATGTGGGCAGTAGCCCACATATCCCAGACTTGTCCCCCAGCACCAACCTGGGGTCCCCAACGTCCTGGCACTGCCACAGCCCCCCTGCCCACCCTCCTGTCTCCCTCCTGCCCCCAGCCCCTTGTTCTCACCATACAGTGCTGCAGACCATCGGCACTGGTCCCTTCCCGATCCCACTGCCTCCACTGCACCCAGCAGCTTTCCCAAGGTCTTTGCCATGATCGCTGCCTGCAGAGCTGCACTTGCCGCAGCCCAGGGGCTGCTGCCCGGGGGGCTCGAGGGGCTGCTGCTTGCCAAGCTGTTGAAAGGAGCTGCCGGTCTCCATGGAGAGTGTGGTGTCCCTGGGGAGAGACAGGGGTGGCTTACGCCGGGATTGAAGCGCTCAATCCCAAGAGGAGTCACCTGCGGCACCTTTGAAGGGTGGTTGGGTGCTCGGGGCCGTCCTGGTTGTCAGGGTGACTCGGCCCAGTGCTGCTGCCTGAGGCCCCGGGAGATGCCTGGGATTCCCAGGATGACTGACAGCCTCTGGATACTGACCTGCCCGGGCTGCTCACCTGATGTGGGGTCACCCATGGGGACCTCAGGGACAAGACACCCCCAGATCTGGGGGACAGAGCTGCAGCCCCACATCTGTCCCCCCATTCCTCTCCGCGCCCAAGGCACCCACCCCCTTCCTCAAGAGGAGCCACCCCAATGCCTCACAACCCCCACCTGCACGGGGGATGCCAAGGGGACACCGGTTTTGGGGACTCCGCAGTGCCTACCTTGGGAGCTGCACAGGGGCTGGAGGAGCGCGAGGCCAGGTGGGTGCTGCTGAGGCTCGGGGGCCCCTAAATGCTGTGGGGCCAGTGGCTGGGCCCCATAGCCAGGGGCGGGGAGGATTGGGCCCCGCCTCCATAGGGCTGGCAGTTGGGAAAAGGTCTCGGAAGGGATAGGATAGGATGGGATGGGACCTCCCCCATGGGACAGTGGCACTGGGGAACTCCCACGGCCACCAAGCCACCACCATGAACCTTGACCCACTGGGACCCCAGAGACACCCCTCACCTTGCTCCCAGAACCACCCTGATCCATTGGGACCACACAGACACCCCTCATTCTGTTCCCAGGACTACCCTAACCCATGGGGTCCCACAAACAGCCCCTCATCTTACTTCCCAAGAGTTCCACAACCAATAGACACGCATCATCCTGCTCCAAGGACCACCCTGACCCACGGGGTTCCAACAGACACTCCTCATCCTGTTCCCAGGACGGATCCTTTCCCCCTGGCACTCCAGGGTGGCTTCCCTTGCCTAGAGTGTGGGGGGCCCTCAGGATGGGTACTGCCCCTGCCCCACTGCCATGACCCTTCTGGGGCTGTTCCCCACATATCCCACTCATCCTTCAGGAACCAGCAGCCTGGTAAGAATCCCACATCAAGAATCCCCCACTACCGGCTGGGTCAGATCCTGCCCTGAAGATGTCACCCCTTCCTGCCCTGCCCATGTCCCCCCACCCTGCCCTGGGGCACCCTGCCATGCCATGCACCTTGGCTTTGGGGTGACAGCAAGGCAGGCAGCGCCCCATACCCCCAGACTGGGGTGTCCCCCTGCCCAGGCACTCTGGCACATCCCCCGGGGCAGGGAAGGGGAAGCGAGAGCAGCTGGGACCAGCACCCAGTGCCACGGGACACACCGAAGAGGTAGCACCCAGTCCGGGGTCTGGTGGGAGCACTGGGGAGGCTGCGGGGGTACAGGGGGGCTGGGAAGGGAGTCGGTGGGGGTTGAGGGTTCCTGTGCAACAGGGGAGGTGATGGGTGCCGGGGGCCCAGGGTACTGTGCAGGGGGGTCAGGGTGATGGGTGTTGGGGGACTCGGGGTGCTGAGGGCGGGTGCGGGGCACTGAGGCTTGCAGGCAGGGACCGGGGTGCGGGAGTCGGGGGGAGTCCGGGACACGAGAGGTGCGGGGGTGGAGTTGGGGGGGGGGGGGGGGGGGGGGGGGGGGGGGGAAGGTGGGAGCGGCTCCTTTAACCACCCCCGTCCCGCCCGCCCCATCCGAAAGAGGAAGCAGCGACAGCCCCGCCCCAGGAGGCTCCGGCACCCGGTACAGGAGTCGGGGTGCTCGGGGGGTGCGGTGGAGGCTGGGGGTACTGGGCCCAGGGGTGCACTTCGGGGGGTGCAACGCTGAAGGGGTGGGGATGGCGCTGGGTTCAGGGGGTGCAGGAAGTAGGGATGCACAGCACGTTGGTGCAGGGAGCCCGACACCGGTGCAGGATCTGGGGGTGCTGGGCACATGGGTGCAGGAAATGCAAGGTTAAGGGTACGAGGGCTGGGGATACAAGTCATAGGTGCAGGTCTGGGGGTGCATCTCTCAGGGTGCAGAGCACATGGGCACAGGGTCTGGGGGTGTGGGCACAGGGGTGCAGAGTCGGGGGCTGCAATGTCTGGGTATGAAGGACACAGAGGTACAAAATACATGGGTACAAGACTTGGGGTACCAACAGGTTCCCCCTCATCCTGGCACCATCCCGGATCCCCCCAGAAGCAGTGATGGAGAAGGACCTCGACTGCTGCCAGGATGGGGCCAAGATGGTGCTGGGTGCCGGGCTGGGCACTGAGGGGACAGAGACACAGGTGAGACCAGGGGAGGGAAGCTGGGAGGGGGCGGGGGGTAGGCAGGGCTGTGGTGGCCATCCCCAAGGTCTGACAGCCAGGGTCACCTGCAGCTGGATGATTTTGTGGGCGCTCACCCCGACTACAACGAGGAGGAGGAGGAGCAGAAGTATTTCCGCCGCAAGCGTCTCGGTGTCATCAAGAACGTGGCGGCCGCCAGTCTGGCCGGCACCCTCACCTACGGCGTATACCTGGGTATGGGCACCTCCCAGGAGTCCCCAAAACAATCCAGGGTGCTCAGAGCATGCAGTGACCACCCCCCGGGCCACCCCCACAGGCCTGCTGCAGATGCAGCTGATCCTTCACTATGACGAGACCTACCGGGAGGTGAAGTACAGCAACATCCAGCTGGAGGACATTGACCACAAGGTGCTGATGGGCATCAACGTCACACCCGTGGCAGCGCTGCTCTACACACCCATCCTCATCAGGTATGGCCCCGCCGCACTCCCAGCTGGCACGGCGCTCCAGCACAGCTGCCCACGCTGCCCGCTCCTCGCCCCGGCAGGTTTCTCGGCACCAAGTGGGCCATGTTCCTGGCGGTGGGCATCTACGCCCTCTTCGTCTCCAGCAACTACTGGGAGCGCTACTACACCCTGGTGCCCTCCGCCGTGGCCATTGGCGTAGTCATCGTGCCCCTCTGGGCCTCCATGGGCAACTACATCACGCGGTAGGCATCGGGTGGGCAGGCGAGGGGAGCAGGGTAGGGGGTGCCGGCTGACCTGCTGTGCCGTGCAGGATGGCCCAGAAGTACTACGAGTATGTCAACTACAAGGAGGAGCAGGAGAAGGAGCGGGCGCCGCGGGATGCTTGCAACACCTACATCATCGTCTTCCAGACCATCTTCTACTCCTGCTTCCACGTGAGCGTCGGTGGGATGGGCGGGACAGGCAAGGGGGGCCACACCAGCAGCACTGAGCGTGTCTCCCGCTACATCTTCTAGTTGAGCTTCGTCTGCGCTCAGTTGCCCATGGTGTTCTTCCTCAACAACTACCTGTACCAGCTCAACCACACGCTGTCCGCGGTGAAGCACTGCGGTGAGGCCGCGGGGGCGCGAGGCGGCACCAGGAGCCCCCCACTCCCAATGAGGTTAACCGCGGTGTGTCGTCCCCCCCCATCCCGGCAGGGACCCTGAGCCACGGCACGCTGCCCGGCTTCAACAAGACGGTGCTGCAGAGCCTCCCCCGCAGCGTCAACCTCATCATCGTGGAGAGTGCGCTGATGGCTGCCGCCTTCCTCGCCATGCTGGTGGTGAGTGCCGGGCCGGGGGGGTGGGGGGGAAGGCGCCGGGCTGGATGGGGGCGGCGCCTCACCTTGGGCGCTCGGCAGGTGCTGGTGCTGTGCGGCGCCGCGTACCGGCCCATGGAGGAGATCGACATGCGCAGCATCGGCTGGGGGAACATCTTCCAGCTGCCCTTCAAGCACATGCGGGACTACCGCCTGCAGCACCTCCTGCCGCTGTTCATCTACAGCGGCTTCGAGGTGCTCTTTGTCTGCACCGGATTCTCCCTGGTAGGACCTGGGATGGGGGGGGGGGGGCGGTGAGGGAGCAGGGACACGTGACGCTGAGCCTGCGCTCGCCGCAGAACTACGGCGTGTGCGTCCTGGGGCTGGAGAAGTTGGCGTATCTCCTCATGGCCTACGGCTTCTCTGCCTCGGCGTGCTCCAGCCTGGCTCTGAGCATGCTGCGCCTGCGTCGGCACATCCCACTCCTGGCTGGGGCCGTCATCCACGCCGGACTCCTGGTGATGCTCTTCTGCTGGGCGCCAGAGCCCCGGCAGCAGGCACAGGCGCCGCTGCTCTATGCTGTTGCCGCGCTCTGGGGCATGGGCAGCGCCCTCAACAAGACCGGAATCAGCAGTGAGTGGTGGGGGAAAAAAAAAAAAAAAAAACAAACAGCCTCGGTGGTTCCCAAAATGTCTCCGTTATCCCCAAAGCATCATCGGTGGTGGTCCCAAAAAGCAGCCTCAGATGTCCCCAGCTTCTCCACTCATCCTTTCCCCACTAACCCTGGCACTGCGACCTTGCGCTCCCGCTCCTGGGATCTGCGGGACAGACCCACTGTGGTCATCCTGTTGTCCCCCACGCTGAGGGGACCCACTGCACAGGAAGGGAGGCACTGATTGCAATCTCTGCCACAGTCCTCCTAGGAATGCTGTACAAGAACAAGGAGCGCCAAGACTTCATCTTCACCATCTACCACTGGTGGCAGGCCCTGGCCATCTTTGCCGTCTACCTGTGGTCCGGGCTGCCCATGAAGGTGAGCTCCAGGCGCACCCCAGCCCAGCCCCGGGACGTTCCAAGCTCTGCGGGGATCCCAAACGCCTCGCTGTGCTGCCACAGGCCAAGCTGTCCATGCTGCTGCTGACGCTGGTGGTGGCGGTGGGGACGTACCTGTGGATGGAGCGGAAGCTGGCACGGCACGTGGAGTACCGGCTGCCCCGCCTGCCGCGCCCGCGCCACAAGTCCTGCGGGTACCGCTACCTGGAGGAGGACGACTCGGATGAGACGGGCTCCGAGGGTGATGGGGACCAGCAGGACGGCAGGGAGAGCCCGGCTGGGGCTGCCCACGGGGACGAGGAGCCCAGAGAGGATGGGGAGCAGCTGGGATAGGGGCAGCATGGCCCCGCCCTGCTCCCAGCAACGAGCGGGGCCACTGCCCCCCCTGGGGATGCCCAAAAACCCCCCAGTGGACCCCAAATCCCCTCAGGCCAGGCTTACAGCCCCCCCCTCCCCCTTCAGCTAAGCAGCCCACAGTCCCCCCCAACCTGGTCCACAGGCCCCCAGATTGACCTG